TGGCCCAGGAGGCGAGGAACGCCCCGTTGTTTGGGAGGGAACGCGGCGTCAGGTAAGCGTTCCGGTGACTCCTGGGGTGGGAACACGCAGCCCGGCCCTGCCCGCCAGGTCTTGATGCCGGGAGCCCCGGGCGCGCACCTCTGCCTGATGCAGGCCCAGGCGTGGGGTGCTGCGTGACCACCTCTGCCCTCGAGCCTTAAGTTCTCTTTCTGCAGGTTTGCCTCCGCCCGCGGCATTGGGCACGGGCAGGGCCCTGCTCCCTGGCTGCACGGGTACCCAGCCTGCGGATGCCTTGCAGGAGTGGGCAGGACCTCTGAAAGCGAATCAATTAATGCGCCACAGAAGGCGATGGTTATCAGAAGTTCCCAGACGGTGGCGGGTCCCTTCCCGGGTCTGGGACTTTTTCGTGATGCCCCCTGTGCTTCTCCATATAATGTGGGGTATTATATGGCCCTCTATACCGTGGAGGCAGGGACTCAGAATCATTTTTTGTCTGTATTGGAGCACTTACCCAGTTCTCATTCCATGTGTTGTTTTGTTTGTAATCCTCACCGGAAGATATTTTTCCATTGATTTTTAGAGAGGGGGAGGGTGAGAGAGAGGGGGGGGGGGGGGAGAGAGAGAGAAAGAGAGAGAAGAGAGAGAGAGAGAGAGAGAAACATCTGTGAGAGAGAGACACATTGATTGGTTGCCTCCAGCATGCGCCCCAGCCGCGTCCAGGAGTGAACCTGCGCCCAGGTACAAGCCCTTGACCTGGAAAGGAACCGTGATTCTTCCTTGCGCAGGCCCATGCTCTACCACTGAGCCACACGGCCAGGACTCTTTCCGTGTTTGATGTAGGCCACACACCAGTGATTGGTATTGACTGGGTACTTACTGTGTGACGGATTCAAGCTGTATACTGACTGACAGCCACGGAGGTAACCAGTGAGTAGTTGAGAATAAAAAGTGTGAGCAAAAAGTAGGCAGTTTTCAGGTTGGAACAGAGAGAGTAGAAGTGCCATGTTCCCAAATAGGGAAAACGTGTGTTGGGGAAATAGCAAGTACTTAACTTCATTTTCCAGGTTGCATTGATGTGTTTGTGAGGCATTCTTGCGGTAACATTAGGAGGTTGAAAATGTGGGTTTAGTATCCCATGTAGGGAGGGTTAGGGCTAGACGTTTCCATCTCGGTAGCATATTAGTCATCTGCCTGGTACTTGTAGTCAGTCAGGGGTTTCATAATTAGCTAAGAGACAGATTGTAAAGGAGCAAGGGAAGACAATGGAGTTGTCAGAAATTTGGGAGATCAGGATTGATCTCTAGTATAGAGAGTTCTTTACTACATTTAAAGACAAAAGTCGAATCATCAAGGGCTAGGAGTTGGAGATTGCAGATGTAAAAGAAAGGGTACTAATAAGTTGGGGTCCTGGGGGAGTTTGGAGGATACTCCTTTGCTGTCCTTGCAAATTGTGGGGACACTTGAGAAGATAAGGGAGTCAGGATGATGGGTGTGAACATTTAGATAAGTTCTTTTTGAGACTGGGAGAGTTGGGGATGGGGGAGATGAATGATGAGCTCACCTTGGCAGGTGATTCTGGAAGCTCAGTGATTTGAGAACTCAGGTCGTTTGTTGCATTTGTTAGTCAGGGTCCAGTTGGAAAAGTTGAAATCACATTATTATTTGAACAGAATTTAATATGAAGAACTAGTTAAATAGTTGTTGGAGGAACAAAAAGCAAAAGGTAAACTGATGGAAGTAGGTAGCTACAACACTTAGCTAGGGCTGGGGATCAAAACAAGGGAAGCCCTTGGGATTATCATGCCTAAACTTGGAGCAGAGGCATTATAAAGCAAGGACTCAGACCTCTGGAATTCAGAGGAGGAGCCCTCCTATTGCTGGATTTCAGACACCTGGAGGGGGCCTGCCTGGTTATTGCTGGTACCTCCAGGGATGGGGGAGATGAGGCTGGTCATGGGAGTACTAAAGACTGGGACCAAGGGCCCCTGCAAGGATGAAAGCCCATTGCTGGGGCAGCAGTGATGGGAACAGTAAGATGACAGGAAATAGTGAGTTCCTCTCAGCTCTCACTGCCTTTACCCTCCAGATTCGTATCCTTCAGTACATGGACCTCAGGGCTCCACGGGTTATTGGTGAATATTCACAGAGAGGGATATGAAGATATTTTGATGATCTGATCATGGCAACAGTAACAATAATAATTATTATTAGGTGAACCAGAATGAAAGAGCCTGGAAACTACACATTTGATCCCCCTCTTGTCTGTCCTTACCTCTTGCTACTATATCACCTGTTTACTCCCCTCTAGTCAGACATGCCAGGCAGTCTCTCATCTCAAATCTACCAGTCCTTTCAGATCTATACCAGTGGTCATCTCTATGTTTAAAGAAAGATCAAGGTTGTAATTTTTATATGCTTTGGAAAGCCTAAACTTTCTGTGTGGAATTAAATTTAAAACCTTTATGGTATAATACAGGTTCAAATAATTTCTAGAAGTTCTTGAATATAAATATCACGTAAGCTTATAAACCATTGTTTACCTTGATTTTTTTTCTTGCTTCCACCATGCATGGTTTTGCCTTTCTCTTAAACCACATTTTATATGTTATCCTTCATATTACACTTAACATTATCTGCTGTGTAGGAGGATTACCTCATCTTTTTCAATGTCATATGTATGAAATGCCAAGATGAGAGAATTCTTTTTAGAATATGGTGGCTTTAAGTCCATTGTGGTTTGTGTAATTGCCATTCCTAACATAACTTAGGGATTTCCAATTATAAACCTCAGAGGGATCAGAATATAAATACCCAGCACATTAATATTTGTTTTCCTCTTACTTAGATAATATTATACATTAAAGCAAGTCTGATTTTGCCAGATTGAAGTAGGTTTCCTATTTATCATTCTTTTCTCACCTTACTATTACACTGGTAAAAACCAGGCCAGGAAAGCTGAATTACATGAAGTAATTATATCAAGTCATTAAGCAACTCAAACATTGATTATCATTTTGAAGTAAACTGTTGTAATTTTACAGGTCTTATTTTCCCCCTGAGAACAGTACATCCTTATATTCTACTTTTGATTTAAATTTTAACTTTTTTAATGGAAGTATATCCCAGTTTATATATAAATATACCTAGTGATATTAAAGTAATCTCATTCCAGATTTTCTTCAAATATTTATATGGATTTCACATGATTTTATAAATCTATTGGATTATAAAGTTACCCTTATATTCAAATATAAAATGTTTTCCCATTCATTTTGTTCTTTCAAATTTACTGAGGAATAACTGATGTTAAATCTTTTTTTGTCTTAGAAGTGAGTGTTTTATCAAGGGATATTTGTACTTTTTTTTCAGGAATAGCTTCACCATGAGAAATCTGAAGTTACTTCAGACCCTGGAGTTCAGGGATATTCAGGCTCCAGGGACACCTCAGTGCTTCTCTTTCCGAACTGAGCGGAGCACAGTGCTCATTGGCTCAGAACATGGACTGATAGAAGTGGACCCTGTCACAAGAGAAGTGAGTTATTGATTGAGAATGCAAGCATTTGGCATGACCGCTGACTTGTTTTTTTCCAAACTTGCTTCCCCCAGATAGTCTTTAAATCGTACTGAATTTTTATATCCCTAAATGAGAACTCCCTTTGTTTTACAGTGATGTCATATTAGGTGTAATTTAAATAGTAACCTACCTTTTACTTTGCTACTGTTTTAAATATGAGTTGGCAAAACTCTGACCTCATATTTTATGTGGGCACCCTACTTTTTACCCTTTCTACCTTGAAATTTTTTGTAATAGTGGTTCTCAACTAGGGATGCAACTGAAAATTGCCATTTTAAAACTGTTTCAGCCCCCATCTCATACCAATTAAATCAGAGTCTTCACTCCAGGATCTTGAGCATGTGTGCGTGTATATTTATATATGGTGAGTCAAAAGTAGGTTAATGGTTGTTTATATGGAAAATAATACAATTAATAAATAATAATACAAGAATAAACTCTGGACGGAAGAAAGATGGTGGAGGAATAGGAGGATCTTTCTCCTACCTCCTCCCAGAATCTAACTAGAATTAGAACTACAGTGGGAAATATTCACCCTGAAATACCTGCTTTAGACAGAGGGAAGAGACTTTTAAACAAGGAAGGCCAGAAACCACCTCTAGACTTGTAGGAAGGGCAGGGTTGAGAGAGGCCTTTGGCTGAGCTGTCAGGAGCCATGGGCCAAGGGTGAGGAGGGTTCCCTGGGAGAGAGGCTAGGACATCCAGAGAGTTGAGCCACTGGGCAGTAGCTGCCCACACAGCAACCGGAGGTGCATAATGTTAGGTGCTTCTAACAGAGCGCTGAGCAGCTTGGCAACAGCCACCCACGTAGCAACCAGCGCCTGGCTTCTATCAGCCAGGGAGCCAGAGCTCAGGAATTCCGTGCCCAGTCTCTCACCCAAGTTTTGTTGGAGTGGGAGGTGCATAGTGGAGTTTCCTGAGGAGAGACGGGTAGAAGTGGTTGGGGACCGTGGCAGGGAGGACGGCTGCCGGGATACCTGTGCTGTCCCTCCCATTCTCCCATATTACAGCAGTATTTCTCCTGAGACGCACAAGCCCCTCCCTATACCAAAAGCCTGGGAAAAGGCAATTACCCTACCCCTTGGGATACAGCTCAGGAGGCAGCAATCTCAGGGAGCATCAGTGGCTGGCTATCTTGCATGAATATTCCCCCTTTTTTCTTTCCCTTTTCTTCCCCTTTTCTAGTATTACTTAATTTTTATTTTATTATTAGTAGTAGTATTATCTTTTTTGTTTATTATTCTTGTTGTGTTGTCTTTTCTTTCCTAATTTTCTTTTCTTTGGGGTTTTTTGCTGTTGTAGGGTTCTTTTGTACGTTTTGTTTTGTTTTGTTCTGTTCTGTCAGCACCTGCACGGCATGGTCAGGCTTGAGCATCACAGTTATCCAGCCTGAGAAGAATCTCACCCATGAATGGGAAAACAACGGTCAAGACCCAATTACAACAGAAGAGCCCAAATCACAAAAGGGTCACTACTAGAGCATGCAGCTCAGTAGTTCAGGGAGTCTGCACCACTGGGTCCAACAGGACATTTACTACAAAAGACCACCCCTGCTAAGACTAGAGTCATAGCAGGTATTTTAATACATAAAAACAAACTCAAAGATACAACTTAAAGGGGAAGACAAAGAACCCCTAAATGAAAGAAAAGGAGGAATCTCCAGTAAAAGATCTAAAAGAGATGGAGGTAAGCAATTTACCAGACATAGAGTTCAGAGTAATAGTTATAAAGATGCCCAAGAAACTTAGTGAAAACTACAAGGAACTTAGTGGAAACTACATCAGCACGAAAAAGACTATAGAAACAATGAATAAGAACCAATTGGAAATGAAGCATATTGTATTTGATATCAATAATACACTGGGAGGAATTAAAAGCAGAATTGATGAAGCAGAGGATTGAATCAGCAATTTGGAAGACAAAGTGGAATGACACTCAGAGAAACAAAAGGCAAAAAACATTTAAAAAGCATGAGGAGAGGTTAAGGGAACTTTGGGACAACCTGAAACAGAACAACATCTGCATTGTTGGGGTATCAGAAGGATAAGAAAGTGAGCAAGGGAAAGAGAACCTGCTTGAAGAAATAATGACAGAAAACTTTCCTAACCTGGTGAAGGAAAAAGTTACACACAAGTTCAGGAAGCACAGAGAGTTCCGTTCAAGAGGAACCCAAAGAGACCCACACCAAGACACATCATAATTAAATGTTAAATGTTGCACTAGCCAGTTTGACTCAGTGGATAGAGTGTTGGCCTGCGGCTAAAGGGTCCCGGGTTCAATTCCGATCAAGGGCACATGCCTGGCTTGTGGGCTCAATCCCCAGTGGGGTGTGTGCAGGAGGCAGCCAATCAATGACTCTCATTGATGTTTCTATCCCTCTCTCCCTTTCTCTGACTGAAATCAATAAAAAATATTTTTTTAAAAACAAAGGCCATAAGAGACAAAGAAGGTCACTATATAAGGCTAGATGGATCATTCCAACAAAAAGATATAACCCTGTTAAACATATGCACCCAATATAGGAGCACCTAAATATATTTTTAAAACTACTGGAGACTGTAAAGGAGAGATAGACAACAATACAGTCATAGTAGGGGACTTTAACACCCCATTGACATCACTGGATAGATCTTCCAGACAAAAAAAAAATCAACCTGGAAACAATGACCCTAAGTAATGCACTAGATCAGAAGGAGTTAATTGATATTTACAGAACATTTCACCCCAAAGCTGCAGAATATACATTCTTCTCAAATGTATATGAAACATTGTCAGAGATAGACCACATGTTAGGACACAAAACAAGTCTGTACAAATTCAAGAAAATTGAAATCATATCAAGCATCTTCTCAGATCATGATGGCATGAGGCTAGACATCAACTACAATAAAAACACCCCAAAACATTCAAACACATGAAGACTAAGGAATATGTTATTAAATAATAAATGGTTTACCAATGTGATCAAGGAAGAATTAAAAAACATCCTGGAAACAAATGAAAATGAACAAAATCTAGGGACACAGTGAAAGCATTCCTGGGAGGGAAGTTCATAGCATTACAGGCCCACCTCAAGAAGCAAGAAAAAGCTCAAATAAACAATCTAACCCTACAACTTAGAACAATAAGAAAAGCCCAGAGGAAGTAGAGGGAAAGGAATAATAAAGATCAGAGTGGAAATAAATTACATGGAGGATAAATAATATAAAAGATCAATGAAACCAAGAGCTGGTTCTTCAAAAAGATAAACAAGATTATCAAAAAGATAAACACCTTAGCCAGACTCATCAAAAAACAAAGAAGTGATGACCCAAATAAATAAAATCAGCAATGAAAGAGATGAAGTAACAACTGACACCACAAAAATACAAAGGATTGAGAGAAAATACTATCAACACCTGTATTCCAACAAACAGACAGCCTCGGTGAAATTGACAAACTCCTGGAAACATACAGTATTCTAAAACTCAATCAGGAGGAATCAGAAAACCCTGAATAGGCTGGAAACAATTAATGAAATTGAAGCAGCAATAAAAAAAACAACCTCTCAGCAAACAAAAGGCCTGGCCTGGATGGCTTCATAGGGGAGTTTTACCAAACATTCAAAAAAGAACTAACACCTATCATCCTCAAACTATTCTAAAAAATTCAAGTGAAGGAAGGCTTCTAAGCTCCTTTTATAAGGCCAGCATTATCCTAATTCCAAAACCAGATAGAGATACTACAAAGAAAGAAAATTAGAGTCCAATATCTCTGATGAACATAGATGCTAAAATCCTAAGCAAAATATTAGCAAACCAGTTCTAGCAATACATTAAAAAGATCGTACACCATGAGCAAGTGGGATTCATTCTGGGGATGTGAGGCATGTACAGTATTAACAACTCAAATGTGTTATGTCACATAAACACAATGAAGGATAAAAATCACATGGTCTTATCAATAGACTCAGGGAATGGATTTGACAAAATCCAGCACCCATTTTTTATAAAAAACTCTGCAAAGTGGAAATAGAAGGAGCATACCTCAAAATATCAACATAATAAAGGCCATATCTGGCAAACCTACAGCCAACATCATACGCAATGGGCAAAAACTAAAATACATTTCCCCTAAAAACAGGAATAAGACAGGGTTGTCTGTCCACTTTCACTGCTCTTTTTCAACATAGTACTGGAAGTCCTAGTTATAGCAATAAGACAATAAGAAAAAATAAAAAGCATCCAAATTGAAAGAGGTTAAGTAAAACTGTTATTATTCACAAGTGAGATATTGTACATAGGAAACCCTAAAGATTTTTACCAAAAACTACATTTATTTCTGCAAAGTAAATAACAAAATTAATATCCAAAAATCGATAGCATTTTTATATGCCAATAAAGAACTCTCAGGAAGAGAAAGTAAAAAAAACAATCCCATTTACTATTGCAATGAAAAAAAATGAGAAACCTAGGGAAAAAATTAACCAAAAAGGTAAAAATCCTGTACTCAGTAAGCTATAGGTAATTGAAAAAAACACACAAAAAACAGAGGAAAATGCAAACAGTAGAAACATATACCTTGTTCATAGATTGGAAGAATTGATTATTAAAATGCCCATACTGCCCAAAGCAATCTGTAGGTTCAATGTAATCCCCATTAAAATACCTTCTGCTTATTTCACAGATCTAGGACAAATATTCCAGAAATTGATGCAGAACCAAAAAGACCTTCAATAGCCACAGCAATCTTAAGAAAGAAGAACAAAGTTGGAGGGATCACAATACCAGATATCAAACTATACTGCAAAGCCATTGCAATAAAAGCAGCCTGGTACTGGCACAAGAATAGACATCTAGAGCAGTGGGAGAGAGCAGAGACCCCAGAAATTAGCCCACACCAATATGGGTAATTAATACTTGATAAAGTAGGCAAGAGCATACAATGAAGTAAAGACAATCTATTCAATAAATGGTATTGGGAAAATTTGACAGGTACATGCAAAAAAAAAAAAAATGAAACTAGATTATCAACTTACACCATACACAAGAATGAATCCAAAAAGGATAACACAAAAACTAGATTATCAATTTACACCATACACAAGAATGAATCCAAAAAGGATAACAGACTTAAATGTAACTTTCAAAACCCATAAAAATCCCAGAAAAAACCATAGGCATCAAACTTAGACATCTCAAGTAGCAGAATTTTTGCTGATACATCTCATAGGGCAAGAGAAACGGGGAAAAAATAAGCAAATTGGACTATATCAAACCAATACGTTTCTGCACAGCAAAGATATCATGAAATGAAAAAGGAGAACGTATTTGCCAGTGATACATCTGGTAAGTGGTTAATTTCCCAAATATATAAAGAACTTATACAAAAAAAGGAAGATGATACAATTTAAAAATGGGCAAAAGACCTGAATAGACACTTTTGCAAAAAGGACATACAGTTGACCCAGAGACATGGAAAAATGCTCAACGTCACTAATCATCAGAGATGAAAATGACAGTGAGGTACCATCTCACACCTGGCAGAATGGCTACCATAAAAAAAAAAAATCAACCAATGCTGGTGAGGATGTAGGGAAAAGGGAACTGTAGTGGAAATGCAAACTTGTGCAGGTACTATGGAAGACAGTATGGAGAATCCTCAAAAAATTAAAAGTGTAACTGCTGTTTGACCTAGCTCTCTCACTTCTGGGAGTATATTCTAAGAATCCCAAAACACCAATCAGAAACAATATATGTACCCCAATGTTCATAGCAGCGTTATTTACAATAGCTAAGATCTGGAAATAGCCCAAGTGCCCATAAGTGGATGAATGGATAAAAAAGCCATTGTACATTTACACAATGGACTACTATGCAGCTGTACAAAAAGAAGGATCTTTTACCCTTTGTGACAGAATGGAGGGACCTGGAAATTATTATGCCAAGTGAAATGAGCCAATCAGAGAGAGACAAACATCATATGATTTCACTTATATGTGGAATCTAATGAACAAAATAAGCTGATCAAAAATAGGTCCAGAGGCATGGAACAGACTGGCAGATCTCAGAGGGAAGGAGTGGGGGGAGAAGTGGGAAGAGATTAACCAAAGAACTTGTTATGTATAGCTTATGGATACAGACAATAGTATGGTGAAGGCCTGGGGTAGGGTGGGAGCCAGGTGGATGTGGAAAATGGTGGGACATCTATAATACCCTCAACAATAAAAATTAAAAAAAAAAAAGAATAAGCTGTTTTGTGTACTCAAGTGTAAACCTACTTTTGCCCACGCCTGTATATATTTAAAAGCTATTTGGATTGATTCTAATATCTTTCCTTAATTATATTTTGCTACTGATGTATTTTAGGTGATTACATTCTTATTCCCCTTCCTCCATCGATAGAAATCTTAGAAAACTATAGTCAGAAAAAGAAAGAAAAAGAAAGCCATAGTTATTAGCTTTATGTTTTAATGGATATTTTTTAAGAGACCAGGCTTTTTGCTTTTATTTTATGTTTATCAAAAAGCTTGCATTAACTATTTTTCTTGTTAAAGATAGTAGGGTTATGAGAGTCCTTAAGTGAAAGTTTGGATTTTTATCTAGAAAAAAATTTTTTTGAAAGCTTTTATATTATAAAAGAAGCATTAAAAAGCATTTTATTTCTGGAAATGTTGTGAATTGTTCTTATAAGTAGATTGGCTTAATTTGCTTATGTGTTTGTTTTGATGGAAGGTGAGAAATGAAATTTCTTTAGTGGCAGAAGGCTTTCTCCCAGAGGATGGAAGTGGCCGCATTGTTGGTATTCAGGACTTGCTGGATCAGGAGTCTGTGTGCATGGCCACGACTTCTGGAGATGTCATACTGTGCAATCTCAGCACACTCCAGGTAAGTGCAATGTTCCTTGTGGAGGAAGTTTCAAGCATCCTCCAACAGGACCTTGCTTTGCGTAGAAGTTTAAAAATTCAGGCGATGTATTATTTAAGCATTTTACAAATTACAGTCGTTGCAATATATATTTCTTTACAAAAAAATTGTTGGTTTGGCTTCAGCTATATTTCAGGATTCTTCTAAAACTCAGTTTTGTCTACTGCATTTGTTAATCAGAACAATTACAACCTGGCCATTCTTGTGTGGGTGTAGTTCACCTCTTATCAAAATCTGATCCTGAGTTGTAACCTATATTTCTCAATTAGAAAGTCTTTGAAATATTTATGATTGCCAAAGGAGATAGATTTCAACCATTAGCCTCTTTCTCTACTCTAGCGTAAGACTGATTTCTGGATTTCTATCCTTTTTAACAGCAAGAGTTTCACACTAAAAAAGTCTAAGTCTTTTTAAACTTCTCTGATTACTACATGAGTTGTGATCTCTTTAACATTGATTGTGCAATGAGACTTATAGTATTACTAATAATATAATGATAGTAGTAGCAGACATTTAGTCAATGTTTACAATGTGCCAGGCACTTTGTCAAGTGCTTTTCAAGCAGAATTTTATTTAATATTCACTACAATCTTAAGAGGTAGAGTGTTTTCCGATTCTTTAGAACTAGAGGAAATTGAGGCACAGAGAGCTTAAGTAACTAGGCCAAAGTCATACAGTTTTCAGAGGGGATATGGACCCTGGCAGTCTAAATCTGATACCTTTGCTTTTAACCATTGCATTTAGTGCAGTAATAAATCTTACTTTCAGTTTATGGTAAGAAATATCAAAGACATCAAGTACAACTTAAATAGTGTTTCTCACATTTAAAAGGTATGCTTTTATTTTCAAAACTTTCTGTAGCAATTTTTCCTGATTACTGACCTCCTCCTATCCATTAATTTAATTAAATGGTGCTAATCCTCCCTATTTGTGGCTTTTCAATGCATGCAAGACAGAATCCATGTTCTTATTGTACCTTATAGAACCTTTCATATGTGTTCCCCAAATTCCTTTTAGCCTCTCCCCTCCCCCATCATCGTGTGTGTGTGTGTGTGTGTGTGTGTGTGTGTGTGTGTGTGTGTGTATGTTTTATGCTCTACTTGCAGCTGTTATTTAACTGCTCTTTTTTGAATTTTGTGCCTCAATATTGCATTTCCCCCTGATGTCTTTTTCCTGGCCCTATTATCACCCTTCAAGGCACCTTTCCAGAAAAGCTTTCCTGAACTCCTGGGCTACTAGTGCTTTCTTGCTCTGAGCCTTCACTTAATTCCCAGAAACCTCAATGATAGCTCTAATGCCACTGTAGAGCCATCTTTTCATCTCCTTTGTGAGATAACTCTGGGAGGAATGGCATGTCCATAGTCACGTCCACTTCCTGTGCCCTGTGTCATGCCTAGTCTCTCAATACCTGATACTGAATAAATGTTTATTGAATATATTCACGGTTGTGTGTTTTGTTTTTAATTATTTTGATTATGGTTATAGTAAATTTTCACTGAGACAGTGGGGTTTTAATCTCTCTTACTTTTTTTCTGTCTGTCTCAGCTGGAATGTGTAGGGAGTGTAGCCAGTGGTATTGCAGTCATGAGTTGGAGTCCTGACCAAGAGCTGGTGCTTCTTGCTACAGGTAAACTTGTCATTGATCTCATCTGACTTTTATAAAACAGTTGAGGCCTAGTGCATGAAATTCATGCACTTCAGGGGGTCCCTCAGCCCGGCCTGCACCCCCTCGTAGTCCGCGAGCCCTTGGAAGCTGTCAGTCTGACATCCTTAGCGCTGCCACAGACCTGCCACCACCGCTGAGCTTGCCAGCTGTGAGCCTGGCTTCTGGCTGAGCAGTGCTCCCCCTGTGGGAGCACACTGACCACTGCGGGCAGCTCCTGCATTGAGTGTCTGCCCCTGGTGGTCAGTGCACATCATAATGAGCGGTTGAGCGATCTTAGCATATCATTAGCATATTACACTTTGATTTGTTGAATGGACGACTGGACCCTTAGCATATTAGGCTTTTATTATATAGGATGGCTCCTAATATCTCACAGGGTTAAGCTGTGTAGGTTTCAAAAATTTTCTTTGAACAATTATACTAGTGTTATAATTTAGAGAGGACTTTTATGTTAGCTTTACAACATAAATAGCTGAGAATAAGCATCACGTCAAAAGCTCTTTGCTTTTATGAGAGTCAAACATTTAGAATGAATTCTGTCTGTCTTGTTCTGACTATAAACTCCTTCACACCAGCTCTGTAGCTTCCAGTGCCATTGTTACTTATGGAATGGCAAATTTGTAGTATGAAAATGAAATTATTCTTGTTTGTGCCCCTTCAAGGTCAACAGACTCTGATTATGATGACAAAAGACTTTGAACCGATCATGGAACATCAGATCCACCAGGATGATTTTGGTGAAAGTGAGTATAGCTTTGTTTGAAATGTCTTGTGATCTGAGTTCCACTCAAGTTTGATCATTGTCTTGTGCACTAATCTCCATGTCATAACCCAAAGGACTATAATGTTTGAACTTCCATTCATTAAGTGTCTGATCGCCCAGTTCCTTTGACCCACTTCCGATCTTGAAAGGCATACTTCAGTGCCTCTCCCGGTCTGAGAGTTAGCTTTGTCAATAATCTGGGGAATAGAAATCTATGCTTAGGGTCATCTTGATAGTTGTTGCTCAGGAAAGGGACTACACTAGCTAGACAGAGGCGGGGAACGTTATGGGCTGTATAAGGCTGCAAAATCATTTGGCCTGGCCCTGCCAAGACATTAGAGATGAGTTAATGTTTGACCAAATATAGCAGGCTAATTGTGAAGTTGATAATTTTGTATGGCTCTTGAATGATGTTATAAATATCCAAATGGCCCTTGGCAGAAAAAAGATTCCTCACTTCTGAGCTAGAACGAGGAGGGCATTTCTGGGGTACAACTTTGGGGAGAAAACAAGAAAGATTTTCAATTTTTGCTGAGGTCTAATTTCATGCCTTCTTATTCCACCAACTCTGAGAAGTCATTTAGAAAATGGCTACTCATTTATTCATTCAAAAGTAATTTATTTGTTCAGTAATAATTTTGGGGTCGGTATGAACCCAGCAGTGTTAGGTGCTGTAGAGAATTTGGCTTTTCTCTTAAGGAGTTCCATTAGTTCACTGACAACTTGATGTGCAGGTATTCGGGTAGCATAAGGGGAGGAAGGGAGTAAAGGAGAGGGAAGACTTCGCAGACATGGCTACTGCAGTTGGTCTTCGGTAAATAAGGGGGGAGGGGAGGAGAAGGGAGGGAAGTGGACCAAGCAAGTGAATAAACCCATTCCAGGGCAAGGTGTTTCCCGGAAGCCTTTGACACATCATAACTTTTTCAGACAACTGTGAATACTTAAGCATCGGTGGTTGGCAGGACGTGAATGTGGAATGAAATAAACAGGATGGATTTTGATTACGTTTGGTAGGAAGGGAATTTGAACATTGAGTTATAGGTGATCAGCCATTAAAGGTTTTGATGATACAAGATTGAGTGATTGGTGCAGAGGGAAGAGGAAGGGTGATCTGGCAAGAGGTTGCCATAGGAATATAGATGAGGGATAAAGAAGGTGGGTGGTGGGGCCAAAAGAGGGAATAAATTCAGGAAAAATTTGATTCTCAACGAGGATGGGAGTACATTGTTTGGAATTATCTGAACAACTCTTTTGGAATATGTGTGCATGGTTCCTTTCCTGCCCTAGCCAGTTTGAAAAATACCAGTTTAGAAAGTACAATAGTAGGCTTTGGGTATGTAGGTGAAGAAGAAAGTTTAATGCAGTGGTTCTCAACCTTCCTAATGCCGCAACCCTTTAATACAGTTCCTCATGTTGTGGTGACCCCCAATTTCATTGTTACAAATTGAACATAATTAAAGCATAGTGATTAATCACAAAAACAATATGTAATTATATATGTGTTTTCCGATGGTCTTAGGTGACCCCTGTGAAAGGGTCGTTCGATCCCCAAAGGGATCACGACCCACAGGTTGAGAACCGCTGGTTTAATGGGACTCCAGCCTGAAGCTCAAGTGGTGGGAATAAAGGTTCCAGGATTTGAGAGGGAAGGTGGGAAGTGCTGGACTGTAAGGGGTAGGTGGTGAGTTATGTTTTTGGTTTGTTTCAGGACTACGTGGTATCACTATGTGAAGTAGGCAAATATAAGGGGCCAAATCATTGGCATGTAGGAATCTTTACAATCTTGGGAGTAGGTGAACTTGCTCAGGGAGCAGGTATGGTCCTGGAAGAGTGCAGGATCCAGGATGGGTCTCTGGGGCGTTCAGCTTTGAGGACAATCATAGAGATAGATAGTAACCAGCACACCTTTGCATGGGAAAGTGCCCTGGGCCTAGCTAATCCCACCTACTTTTTCATAATGTTGACTGCTGGTCAATTAATTGAGAGGTCTCAGAGCATCCAAGTAATTACAGTCCCTAACTTCTTGGAAATTAGCAATGAAACTGCTTTTATTTAATTTCATTTAGCTCACTGGTTGTCTTGCATGTTCTCAATCATTTGTTCTCTAGACAAGTTTATCACAGTTGGATGGGGCAGGAAGGAGACCCAGTTCCACGGATCAGAAGGCAGGCAAGCGGCCTTTCAGGTGCAAATGGTAAGGTTGATCTGATGGATAAAGACACTTAGAGGCTAATAAGGGACAGATGTCTTGTGCTTTTTAGTAAAGCTGACGCTGTTCAGAAAACCTCAGGGAATGAGTCATCCTAGGACAGTGATGGTGAACCTTTTGAGCTCGGCATGTCAGCATTTTGAAAAACCCTAACTTAACTCTGGTGCCATGTCACATATAGAAATTTTTTGATATTTGCAACCATAGTAAAACAAAGATTTTTATTTTTGATAATTTATTTTATATATTTAAATGCCATTTAACAAAGAAAAATCAACCAAAAAAATGAGTTCGCGTGTCACCTCTGACACGCATGTCATAGGGAGAGTGAAACATCGATCTGCTGAGTTGGACATTTTAATGCCAGTTGCTTCACCTTTTTTTTTTTCTTCAGTGTATGGAATAATTATAACCAATATTCAGTGTAAAAAATAAATCACAGATAGAAATAAAACACTTCGTGTATCTCTTCTTGATATGCAGAAGAACTGTTTTTATACTTTCCTACATATGTAGATATTAGATTTTTTTTCCTGATTTTTCCTTTTGGATGAAACTTATTTTCCTTCATTCTGGATACATTTTGAAGGTAGAGCTACAAGATTTATTAATAATAGATCAGGTGTGGGGTGTGAGAGAGTGGAATTGAGGATGATTTGGGGCCTGAGCAAATGAAAGCATTGTGTGTATATTATATGTAGAAATTTCCATGAACTGCCCTTATAGGATAAATGAGTCATGTACTGCCTGCCAGGTACATTTTTCATCTTTCATTACTTCTAGCTGCATTTTGTGAATCGTATTTCATCTCTTAACCCTGCACCTGAGGAAGTTTGTGTTCTCTACCATGGTTTCGTTTCGCCTAGAATGAATCTGGTTAGGCTGCCAGTGTATTCCCTGGGGTGCAGATGGTGGCACCATTCTGACTTAACCTGTCACAGAAATGGATGATGGCTGCTCAGGTGGAGTGGTCCCCAACCCCGCAAAGTTGGTTTCTGTCTTGAAGGCCTTCAGGATTGAGATGCAGGTGGCACTGGACTGTGTTCATCATTGCTGCTGCCCTTATTACCTCTGGCTCCACTCTTCTGTGCACTGTTGTGAAGCTTACACAACAAATAGAACTCTCTCTCTGTTCTATTTATATTTAGACAAACAACATTTATTTTCTTGTCGAAGTTACCTGGTAGATTCCTCAACTCATTGGTGTTAATATCTTGATCTGTAACTTTCTTCCTGTTGCTTGAAGGCCATTTTTTTTTTAATGTCCAAAGAAGAATTTTGTTTTGTTTGAAGTTCTTTTCTATTGGTGATTTCTGCATCTAAGGATCCTTTCATTAGAAGAGTTCCTGAGGTTTCTATGAAGCTGGTTTTTTCTAGGTAGTTTAATATCATATGAAAGATTGACATTTAATAGCCTGAGGCTTGTTTGATTCTGGGCCATTTAAGGCCCCCAGTGACATCTGTCTTTCCTCATCTCTTTAGATTGAGTCTGCTTTGCCCTGGGATGACCAAAGACCACAAATCACCTGGCGTCGTGGTGATGAGTTTTTTGCCGTGAGTGTTGTTTGCCCAGAGACAGGTAAGAAAATAAATTGCTGTTAAACAAACAAAAAGTTTATCTTATTAAATTCAGGAAAGTTTATTCTCTCTTTTTTTAGGTGATATTCAGCATTTTAAAGATTTTTTAAAAATTGATTCTTAGAGGAAAGGAGAGGGAGAGAGAGAAACATCAATGTGGGGTGATACTCAGTATTTTAAAGATTTTTTAAAAATTGATTCTTAGAGATAGAGGAAAGGAGAGGGAGAGAGAGAAACATCAATGTGAGAGTGAAACATCGATCTGCTGCCTGCTACACAATCTCTACTGGGGATTGAGCCCACAACACAGGCAGCCTTTTGGTGTATGAGAATCCAACTGGCAACATTTTGTTGCATGGGATGCCGCCGACCAACTGAGCCACACTGGCCAGGGCAATTTTTTCTTTCTCATTGGGAGTTTTCTTTTATTACATAAAGATATACTTTAGATGTTAATGAATTTAGAACTAAGAATTAGAAGAGTTCTTTGAGGCTATTTTATCCAGCCTCCTCTGTGTTGGACACAAATTTTTACCAAGATTAATCTAATTTGTTTGTAAAACTATGACAGTTTTTGTTAATAAGGGGGGTGTTTGAAAAGTTTCAACTTGACAATACTTATCATAATGCTTTAAGTTTGTTTGTTTGTTGTTTTGTTTCCTCTGTACCTACTGCATAGGGGCTCGGAAGGTTCGAGTGTGGAACCGTGAGTTTGCTTTACAGTCAACCAGTGAGCCTGTGGCAGGACTGGGCCCAGCTCTGGCCTGGAAGTGAGTGGGAGAAGAAATCTTTTAACTCCTTCCTCAGAATTCTTGGAACTGAGGGTGGGGGTAAGGGAAAGAGATCAACCAAAGGACTTGTATGCAAACATATAAGCCTAACCAATGGACACAGACACCACATATGTAATACCTTAATCAATAAAGAAAAAAAAATACAAAAAAAAAAAGAATTCTTGGAACTGGGGTAGAGGTGGTATCTATTGAATGTGGGTGTTTATATAACACAAAAAAGAGAATTACTTTTTTTCATTTGGCTGTAAGCCTGTATGTTTTTTTCTCTTTTAGTTCCCTGAAGTCTGACTTCAATTTGAATAGTAGATTCTGAGTTTCTTCACAGATCTCACAATTCCGAGGCCCATATGTTTGTAGGTTATAGGCAGGGTCTCCATGAAGCCATTGTATAAAACAGAAAATGGTGCTTAGAAGGGAAGTCGCTGTATGCACAGCTCTGTGGGCAGTGGAGCTCTGGTGAGGACTAGGAAGAGGGCTTCCTTTCTGTGCACAATCTCCCACACCAAGGGAATCTGTTTGCCGAGGAACGTGCAGGGTGGATCCAGCCTGATTCTCTTGGCCGTGCACCCTTGTGTGGTCACAGCCTGCTTGTGATTGTGGCTGTCAATATAGATAGAGGATGTGTCTCATCCACTGTCTCAGTAGCATCTGTTATATGCAAAGCCACGAGGTCTGTAGGTTTTAGATATCTCATTTCCCACCAGTATTTGAGTAGCAGTTGGATGATAGAGCAGAGAGAAAAATGTATTTGAATTAAAACCTAGAGATGAGGTGATTGAGAAGTCTTTAAAAATACCTGCCCCTTAATATAGATAGAGGATGTGTCTCATCCACTGTCTCAGTAGCATCTGTTATATGCAAAGCCACGAGGTCTGTAGGTTTTAGATATCTCATTTCCCACCAGTATTTGAGTAGCAGTTGGATGATAGAGCAGAGAGAAAAATGTATTTGAATTAAAACCTAGAGATGAGGTGATTGAGAAGTCTTTAAAAATACCTGCCTGAGCATGGAATATTTGCTGAAGTTATCTACTTGAAGGAGTAATAGGTTATGGTGTTATAGGACATACATGCAATGATTTAAATAAAGTATTGACTTTTTAAAAAGTCACCCAAGTGCCTTCTAAATCTGAGGCTTTTGGGGCAAGTGGAGGCTTTGTGCAAATTAGGAAAAGGCACTCTTTCCTCTATAGCAGCCATGGGCAAACTATGGCCCGCGGGCCGGAACCGGCCCGTTTGAAATGAATAAAACTAAAAAAAAAAAGACCGTACCCTTTTATGTAATGATGTTTACTTTGAATTTATATTAGTTCACACAAACACTCCATCCATGCTTTTGTTCCGGCCCTCCGGTCCAGTTTAAGAACCCATTGTGGCCCTCGAGTCAAAAAGTTTGCCCACCCCTGCTCTATAGTCTCTCACTAGGATGACTGCTTACCTAGTGACATGGAATTTGAAACTTCCTTGCATGCTTCTTTTTGTTTTTGCTGAAAAAAATAATTTCTCCTGATTTTATCTCGTTTAAAGCCAGCTGCATGTACTTTGGGGCCTTCTAACACCCTCTGTTTGCTTTAAGGCCCTCAGGCAGTTTGATTGCATCCACACAAGATAAACCCAACCAGCAAGACGTGGTGTTTTTTGAGAAAAATGGACTTCTCCATGGACAGTTTATGCTTCCTTTCCTCAAAGATGAGGTGAAGGTAGGTGCCTGAGTTGTTTCAGAATCAAATTTAGGGACTTTCCTCAGCTATAGAGAAGGTTTATATTGGATATGGGCGTGCGTGTAAATAGAAGCTCCTGTGTACGTAGTAACAGAAATAGTGGCTTCTTATAACTAAGTTTTTTTGTGGGTTTTTTTCTTCTTCTTAAAAAATGAGAAATTCTTTTTCTTAGAGATTTTTAAAAAAGAAATGGTATTTCTTTCCCACCCTACATAAAACATAGACAGGAAATAGAAATGCTAGTTTTTATTGTTTATTTTGACAAAAGTACAATTCGTCCAGCAATAAAGATGCCTTTCATTCATAACATTGAAACCTTAAGCAGCGTGTGTACCATTAGGATCTTTGTTGAAGCAGATACACATCCAATGGTTATTTTAATTAAAGACACTAAAAGTGGAGAGTAGAGGTGGATGACCTCCCATGTACCTATTATTTGTAAGATACCAACATTTTGCAAAATTATTTTATCTATCCACCTCTCTCTGGCCCTCACACACAAACACATATTCACACACATTTTTATTTTATTTCCTAGGGTTTTTTTTTTTAATTCTAGGAAATGTACTTTTAATATTTTTTTTCTAACAGTTAAGAACATTTTTCTTTAAATAACCATAAGTAACCACAATTACATTATCATAGCTTACAAAATTAGTAATCATCCCTTAGTATTATCTAATCCCTAGTCCATATTCAGATGTCTCTGATTGACTAAATGTCACTTGCATTTGGTTGTTAAATCTCTTTTAATCTTTAAGCATAATGCATTTTCTAGAGTCCTCTGCATATGAGGACAGACTACACAGATTTGTTTAATGACTCTGTAGGTTAATAATTTATAGCTAGGGCTCTGCTCCAGGAGAGGATTGTTTGGTTTGTGAGAGCAAGGAATTCCGGTATCATAAAGATTTTGAAGTAAATACCTAGTTAAAGGACAATGACAGGTCTGTTTTCCCTACTAGGTCAATGACCTGCTCTGGAATGCAGATTCCACTGTGCTTGCAGTTTGGTCGGAAGACCTTCAGAGGGAAGAAAATTCCACTCTAAAAACCTATGGTAAGACAGCACTGTTTCAGCCTTTTGCCCCATAAAATATAGTTGAAAGTAGATGTGGAGTTGCCTTTATCTCTTCTACTTAGTCCTGCAGTGGAATAAAAGTTGGTGGAGAGGGGTAGGTGGAGATGGGCCAGTGGTTAGGTTTAGATTATTTATGGTTTCAGTCATGCATCAGTCACGGGTCTTTAGAGAAACAGAATCAGGGCAGGCCAGCAGGTAGGAGTTGATGTTTCAGTCTTATCTGAAATTTATAGGACAGGCCCGCAGTCTGCAGACAGGCAGGATCCTACTTTACATTTTCGAGGTAGAATTCCTTTTTCTCCAGGAAACCCTTGCTCTTTAAGGCCTTTAATTCATTGGATGAAATCTGCTCATTGTGGAGGATAATCTGCTTTATTTAAAGTCAACTGATTGTAGTAGGGCGAAGTGGGTAAGGGGGATCAAATCTATGGTGACAGGTGGAAACTAGAATTTGGGTGGAAGCACTCTACAGTATATATAGGTATCAAATTATAACGTACACTTGAAAAATATATATTACTAACCAATGTTACTCAATAATTAATAAATAATTTCTTTAGAAAATTGAAAGATAAAAAGTCACCTGATTGTGTATTTTAACCACATCTACAGAATACCTTGCTACCTTCCCAGCAATATCTAGACTAGTGTTCAGCCTGGCACCATAGCTTAGCCAAGTTGACATATAAAATTGACCATTACAGGTCACCAGTAATTTCTTAGGTGGTATTGCTACAGGAAGGCACAACATTGACCAAAGGAATACTACACTGTGAAAGTGAAAGAGAAATTGGATTAGATATAAGAATCGTCACTATACCTTTTAAATTGTGTAAATAGGTGTTTTTTAGTGTATACGTAATAGGTGAAAACATTACACAATAAAGATGAGAAGGAAAATAGTTAATCCATAATTCTGTCTCTTTAATAATCACTATTGAAATTTTCTCATCTTCCAGATTTTATGGATATGTTTCAGTATAGCCATGATCTCATTTTTGTTATGTATATAGATAGGTATGATGCATCAGTTTTATAACTTACTTTTCTACTGCCACAAAGATATTTCCACTTTAGATAGCCATCTATATTATTTTAAATTACTGGATAATATTCATTTGTGCCGCAGTTTATTAAATCCCATTTTGTTAGACTTTTAAAGTTTTGTACTTTTTCATTATCAATAATAATGCACTGAATATTTTTTCATTCACTCATTCATTCATTTGACGCAGTGGTTTTCAACACTGGCTGCACCTTTATTTTTTTTAATTTTTATTTTTTAAATATATTTTTATTGATTTCAGAGAGGAAAGGAGAGGGAGAGATAGAAGCATCAATGAGAGAATCATTGATTGGCTGCCTCCTGCATGCACCCTACTGGGGATCGAGCCTGCAACCCGGACATGTCCCCTGACTGGGAATTGAACCATGACCTCCTGGTTCATAGGTTGAGCTCAACCACTGAGCCACACCCGGCTGGGCAACCCTGGCTGCACCTTTAGAAAACAAAACAAAACACTTTCCAGGCCTCATCTTATTGGATTCATTGTATCGGAATGAAGACTATCCATATTTAATTTAAAAGCAAAATGCTTCCAGATAACTTTTAACATGCAACCAGGGTTGAGAACCACAGGGTGTCAAGGGCAGGCAAGGCACTGTGATATGCTCAGGATATGTGTTACATAAGAACAGCCATGATTCCTGTTATCACAGCATAAGCAGAAAGTCTAGCTTACCAACTCACTGCTAGGGAAATGTATTGCGATAGCTAGGTGAGAGAACTAGGTTAGATTTGCTGTAATCACTGAATTAAGAATTAGTGAGCTGGGAGATAAAGGAAATAAATTTCTTACTATAATCAAGACCTTCATTTATTTGTATCATCTGTTTAATAAAAGTTGGTTTTGACTTAACATGATTAGGTCTTTTTTTTTTTTAGCTTTATTGAAATGTAATTGGTATATAACTGTGTAAGTTTAAAATGTATAATGTATGATTTGATATATGTATATATTGTGAAAAGTTTACCACAATGAGATTCACCTCACATAATTACCATTTTTATTGTTGTTATTGTGAGAACATTTAAGATCAACTCTCTTAGCAACTTTCAAGTATACGTTACTGTATTGTTAGCTGTAGTCACCATGCTGTACATTAGGCCCCTGGAACTTACTCATCTTGTAACTGAGAGTTTGTACCCTTTTACCAACATCTCCCCATTTTCCCCACCCTCCAGGATTAGGTCTCTGCTTTTAATAGATGTTGGAAAAGATAATTGCTTGCTAATCTCCCTCAGACAGCTGAATCCTAGTTAATACCAGAGAGCCTTGCACCCAGTTGCATGCAAAGCACTTGGGAGAAAGTAATAAGCAACTTAAGCTTAATAGAACATAGAGGTGCTAGTCCAGTACTTCTGGATTGAGTGTTTTAATACTTTTAATCTTCTTTCTAATTCTTGATGAAAAAAACAACTGTCTAAAGCACTGTCTTGTCTTAGCCTTCCATCCTCACGATTAAAAAGTTTGAAGGTAGAGGCAAAAATAAACATGTGTTTCTGACTTTATTGAGCTTGACATCTTGTCTTCATGGAAAATTGCCTTTTGCCAATTATTGTTAATATTATTTTAATGGAGAGGCTGAGCAGGAAGGATCATTTGAAAAAGAAAAGTTTGTCCCATCCTCCTCTAGCAAATGGTATGAGGTCTTGTCCTCCACCCTCTGAGGCCTCCTTTCATTTTCCCTTGCAGTTCAGCTCTGGACTGTGGGGAACTACCACTGGTATCTCAAGCAAAGTCTGATCTTCAGCGCCTGTGGGAAGAGCAAGATTGTGTCTCTGATGTGGGACCCGGTGACCCCGTACCGGCTGCATGTTCTCTGTCAGGGCTGGCACTACCTCTGCTATGACTGGTGCTGGACGACCGACCGGAGCTCGGGGGATTATTCAAGTGACATGGCAAACGTGGCTGTCATCGATGGAAGTAAGCAGCTAGAAAAGGTGTCTGTGAGCCTGGAAGGGGCCCCTGAGCCGGTGCCTGCAGATGTGGTGGTTTGGCTAAAACAATGGGGAATATTTATTTGGTTGGTTGGTTGGTTTATCTTTACCTATTTGTTGTTTTGTTTGGATGAGAATGCACATAGCTGGGGCATGTACTTTCCTGAGGACCATAGTTCCTCCTCCCCACATCCACCTCCCACCCCAGTTCCTCATTGTGCTGCATCCATGGTCTTCACATATTTACTGGTCCAGCCTTTGAAGACATTGAAAATTCTGACCCTGGGCAGAGGAGACAGTCGTGTTAGGGTTTTAGATGTGTTTGCCTTGTCTTTTGCCCTGACTCAGATTTTCATTGACCCTTGCTTCTAAGATTGTAATGTGAGTTGCTGTACTAATTCATGTTCTGTGTAGTGGTCATAATACTGATTTAATAATCATATGATCTGGGTAGAGGACTTAATCATATATGCCTTATTACCGCATCCATGCCGAGGGAAGTGCTTCAAGGATTTTAAAGGCATTGATTTCCTTGCGTTAGCCTGGCTTGGTTGCAGCCAAAGCTAGAATTCTGATCTCTTGACCTTGTCCTAGCTCATGGCTCCTAAAACCTCCAAGACCAGAGACGGATTTCTCCAGGTCTGGAGGGGACAATAGCCTGATATAGACATAGTCCATGATATTTCCTCCCCCTACACGATGTTTATTGATGATAAAAACACCAAAAATTATTTTAAAGAATTGCTGTATATCTCCTACCACCATCATTAGTTAGTGGTACTGTGCTGTTCTGATGCCTTATTTCACAGTTGAACATCCATGTGTCTGATCCTCCTTCTCCTTCTCTGTCACATGCAGACAGGGTATTGGTGACAGTCTTCCGGCAGAGTGTAGTCCCACCTCCCATGTACACCCATCGAATGCTGCTCCCAGAGCCTGTGAATCAAGTCATGTTCTCTGCGTGCCCTGAAAGGAGTAACGACCTCGCTATCCTCGATGCCAGCAACCAGATTTCTGTCTATAAATATGGTATGTTCAGAACTGTTACAAGATGTTCTGAGTCAGGTTTCCCCTCTAAAAAGCAAGTTATAGTTTGATGTTGCCTTCGCTCTAGTGTTTCTAAAAATTTTGAAGTTTATAATTAATATCTTTATCATCATGATATTTAATTGGCTTGTGGGGGGGTCTTTTTGAGGGAATTTCAGTCTTACTCTGGCTTATAAGAGCTATTCCTTTGCTTTGTTGAACTTGAAGAGTCAGTTATTTAAAGAATAACATTCAACCCTGGAAATAGGATGGTATCTTATTACACCTGTAACGTGTTTTACAGTTTTCATTGCCTTTGCACATATTTTCAGTTGATCTCACAGCACTCCTAGGAGCGGTGTCACTGATGGACTTTTTTGTTGTTGTTTTTTTAACGTTTTTGTTGATTTTAGAGAGAGAGGAAGGGAGAAGGATAGAGAGATAGAAACATTGATGAGAGAGAAACACATCATTGGCTGCCTCCTGCACGCCCCCTACTGGGGATTGATCCTGCAACCCGGGCATGTGCCATGACCGGGAATGTAACCAGTGACCTCTTGGTTCATGGGTCAACGTCACTCCACCTTTTTTTTAACGTTTTTGTTGATTTTAGAGAGAGAAGAAGGGAGAAGGATAGAGAGATAGAAACATTGATGAGAGAGAAACACATCATTGGCTGCCTCCTGCACGCCCCCTACTGGGGATTGATCCTGCAACCCGGGCATGTGCCATGACCGGGAATGTAACCAGTGACCTCTTGGTTCATGGGTCAACGTCACTCCACCACTGAGCCATACTGGTTGGGCTGGATTTTTTCTTTTTTATAATGAAGGATAGAATGCCAGCGGGTTTGCAATTTGCTTCAGCAAGCATGGACAGGGAGTCCAACTGAGGTGTCGTAGCTTTTAATCCAGTTGTTTTCCACAGCCCCATTGCTCTCAGTTCCTAGTTGCTTTCCTGATGGGCTGGGGAAACCCCACACTTGTTTTTAGTTGTGAGTTCTACGTTCATGTCATGAATTATACAGGCAAATGGCACTGGTGGCCTTGTTTTCAAATAACTTATGCATTCTCAGAGAACAATCTAGATAGCTGCTAGGATAGAATAATCAAAATTAACTAATTTATATTGGAATTCCCTGCTAATCAGTGTTTCTGTTGAATCAGCAGGCTTCTGTTTATACTAACAATACAGTGGGCCCTCCTTTTGTTCAGTGTCATTTTGTTGGAATGTTGATGAGATGCTGTGTAGGAACTCTTGTTTATACCAGTTACCTTATGATAAAATAGATTTTGTTACATATCATTTTGTTTAAAGTCACAGAACCCATTGACGGTATTAAGTAAGGACTTACTGTACTTGGATATGTCTCCAGCTTCTCTGATTTTAGTTTTACTCTGTAAAATGCTATAACAGTTCTCCTTAAACTTTTTATTTCTTAATAACTTTTTAAAAAGTAATGTGTTCATTGTTAAGGAAAATCAGAAAAAGCAGAAATTAACTTCTTTTCAAAGTAGACTTTATTATCAACCTGTAATATCAAAAGTAAATAAGTGATTGTCTTTGACTACTGTTACTGCTGGTTTTCTTAGCTTAAAAGAATCAGATGTAGAGTAAGCTTTTGCGGTGCTTACTAGATGATACTAATTTAAGATTGTATAATTGTTTATTGTTTTACTATGTACAGAATATTTTATCCTACATTCACTTAAAAAATAACTTTATTCACACCACTCATCTATTTAGGGTGTACAGCTCTATGGTTTTTAGTATATTTGCAGTTTTGCAACCATCAGCACAGTCAATTTTAGAACACCTCTATCTCCCCAGAATGAAACTCTGTAGCACCCTACATTCATGATCAGATAGGGCAGGTTAGACCTCTGCTCTCGGGCGATGTCTTAGGTGGCTGTGTGCGGGCAGGCCATGGTGTGGGCACGGGGAAGCAGACATACCAGTGGGGCTGCTCAGAGTGACTAGGCAGGAGATGGTGAGAGTTTGAGCCAGGAAAGTGTCTGTAGAAAAATACAAAGCTGGGAGCCGTAAGCCTTTGAGAGTGGGGAGCATGTTATAGCGTATTTGGGTATAAAAGAGTCTGGGAAAAGGTTGTGGGAGTTGTTATTAAAATGTAGGATGGCCCTAACCGTTTTTGCTCAGTGGATAGAGCGTCGGCCTGCAGACTGAAAGGTCCCGGGTTCGATTCCGGTCAAGGGCATGTACCTTGGTT